CAAAGAAGTGAGTAAACTTCAGGGACTCGTGCACAGGAGGAAGGTGCTCAGAGGGAGTTGCTCTGTAGGAAGGTGAAGGGAGGCGCTCAGAAGGCAGGTGCTCAGGCTCAGAGATAACCACGGGCTGATCTGAGCGGAATAGTGAGAGATAGGGACCAATCAGGACCAACCGAGTCACGCGTGTAAGCGGTTGCGTATTCCTGCCGCTGTCTGAACAAGGGGAGGAGGATCTTTTTATGTTTTTTATGATATTCCTACACATAAACATTTGTATTCTAATTGTACATTTGGATTGTTGTTGTTGCTGGTGCCATAAATCTTCATATGGATCAAATTTAATCTCCAGAGTTCATTGTAAAGGAGGTATAAATATTCATATAGATTTATTATAGATAGATTATTCCTTTTTAAATGCGTTTTTTGTAGCCTACCCCACGCCTATAAGATATCTTATAAATGTCTTATAAATCTTGTAAATGTCCGTGTCAGAACAACAAAACCTTCAAAAAATCATATATGTGATGCGATCTGGGAAAACCCGTCGGATGTCGCGCTGGCACATTCAGAGTAAATAGTGAAAATAAGTCGAGTGTCATTTTTTTGGCTAAATTGTGTTTTCATTAAATAACTATTATATAACATCTTTTCTTTAATTTCTGAAAACATCTAGGTGAAATTCAATAGTTTTATACTTTTGAAATTGTGATATGTTTTTATAAACCGAACGTTACGTTACATCCTCCGCTCTGACTCCGGGAGCAGCTTTGTAACACCCGCTTTGACAACAACAGATGGCAGTGAACGCACTGCCATCGGGGCTCCAAGCGGCCATAGATATGCGGACAGGACCAGAGACAGGACCATAGACACGCAAACAGGACCAGAGACAGGACCATAGACACGCGAACAGGACCAGAGACAGGACCATAGACACGCGAACAGGACCCATAGACAGGACCATAGACAGGTCCATAGACACACGCGGATCATAGACACGCGAGACACGCGGATCATAGACACTTGGACAGAACCATAGACAGAACCATATGCGGACAGAACCATTGACACGCGTTCAGACAATCCCCAGCTAGTTGCAAGTCCAGGTCTCCCCTGTGTCTCCTAAGCACAACCAAAACTCACGAAATTTAAGCTCGGGCACCTAATTTTCTCCTTGCATTAAAAATGCATGTTGTTTGTGCGTGGATATTTATACTTTGATAGATAAATATTATATTTGATAGAATAATACTGGCATTTTCTAATACATATATAATGTTCGGTAACTTATAAAGAGAAAGACACAAAAAAAGAAGAGGAAAAGTTACGTAAAACAAATTCAATTCATTGAATGTTGAAAGAATAAATACATTCTTGATTTTCATCTAATTAATGAGTGTTGTGTGTTTAGTTGGTGCCAAAGTAAAAAAAAAAATTATCTTTTACAACATAGTGATTAAAATAAGTGTGTGCCATAACAGAGTAATTCAAATCTAACATGTTATATTTGACTGTGGTGATTCTTTTTAGAATGTCTAACTTTCTGTTTCATAAAACCATGTTAATACGCAGACTTCAGATAATGATAACTTTTGTTAGAGACATGCTATGAAAAAAAATGAAAACAGATTTGAAAAGAGATTGAAAGCAGCTTTAAGATGGAATCAGAATCTTAAGTTGGTCAAATTTTACCATGTGATGGGTTTCCAAGATCGCATCACATACCATAAAAGGGTCTCTATCTCCCTTTCTAGGAAATTCACAGCAATTTTCATGAACGTTTCCAATGTTTTGCTTAGGATATCTCAGGGGCAAAAGCTGGTAGAAACGGAAGGTTTTCACCATCTGAAAGTTCAAAGCCTCACCTTTCAAACGCGTTATAGCATGTGTTTATGACAGTAACACAGAATATGCTGTGGCTTTGCAAATATCAGGAAAAATTGACATAATGGCTGGCATTCTAGACCCAAGCTGTTAAAACAAGGTTGGCACTCAATGAGTTAAGGTGCTAAATGTGTTGTAAAGTGCTGAATGTGTGGCAAAGTGCTAAATGTGTTGTAAATTGCTGAATGTGTTATAAGGCGCTGCATGTGTTGTAAGGTGCTGTATATGTTGTAAGTTGCTGTAAGTGTGGTGAGGTTCTGAATGTGTTCAAAAGAGATGTAAGCCATGTAAGGTGCTGTAAGTGTTGTAAGATGATGTAAGTGTAGTTAAGTACTGTAAGTGCTGAAAGGTGCTGAAGGTGTTGTAAGGCGCTGAATGTGTTGTGGGTGCTGAATGTGCAGTAAGGTGCTGAATGTTTTTGTTAGGTGCTGAATGTGTTGTAAGGTGCTGAATGTGCTCTGAAAAAGAAATACCATTGAAAATTGACGTTTTGGGCGTTTAAAAACTTACAACAATGGGAAAAAGTGCTTTTGTAAATAATTGAAAAAGTGCAAAAGGTGGAGGTGTGAAAAGAAATAGCAATATAGAGACTGTGAAGCCGGTCGTTATAATGTATAATTTGTTGAATTTGGTGAAAGCGTTGAAGAGTTGAAAAGTGCATAGTCTATGCAGCCACTCAATAACCACTTGTTACAACCAAGTTATGCAAGAGAGCCTCTCTGAACACGTCAAACCTTGAGGCAGCAGAAGACCACACCGGGTGCCACTCCTGTTAGAGCCCTGCACTTGACCTAGACTCGAGGGGCCCGACAGCCCGAGGACCGGGCTTCGGGCAGATGACAGTATAATTACCTCGGACACGGGCCGGGCTCAGGCACTTTTATTTATTCATTATCAGAGCGGCAGATTACATTTACGAACGCACCCAATGAAAATAGTGTTCTTGTTGTTCTGTACAGTATTGTCATTGACGACACGTAGCGTTAAGTGTGTTGTCATACAGCTGCGGCCGTTCACTCCGTACACATATAACTCATTGCAACACATCACTACCATGTATAACTCTGCCTTCTAGCCGGGCCTGTATTCATATCAGTTCGCGATAGGGATGTAAATCGGCGACCGTTTAACCGGTGGTTGACCGTCACAGCGTTAACCGGTCAAAGCTGTCGGTTAAAAAAAGAGAAAAAGGGGAGAGGGGAGGTCTCTTAATAACGCTATTTTAAGCCCTATTTGTCTGTATCTAGCTGTGTGCGCCCATGTATTATAAACCCCGGGACGACTCACGCCGCACGAGCCACATATGCACACACACACACACACACACACTTTCCCCCTCTCCATACGTAACATCCACACGCATCATCTCTCCCCTCTGTTACCGTCAAAGTTGCACACTGGCGCGGGTCAGAACTACATTGGAGCTTACATTTACATACACACACACATACACACATACATACACACACACATACACACACACATACCGGTCTGTCGCGCTCCTCTGTGTCACGGAGCCCAAAGGATTCGCGCAAATACGCGGCTCCAGTCAAACCACATGGAACATGTTTGTGTTTATGGTCCTCGGGATCAGCTCCACACACATCACTTGTATTTAAACTTTTGTGAAGACCTGTGAGACGCGGCTCGTCACTCGCTGCTCTGACCATGTGAACGAGCCGTCGTTTGCTGCTAGAAAGTTTTGGTATTAACATGCAGCACAGCAGAATGGGAAGATTAAAAAAGCAGTTCTCTGTGCGCAAAGGTGCCGGAGCTGTTGCTGGTTTTGGCGCCGCTGTCTCAACTCTGATCCAGTAGAACGCAGAGCTGCACTTATGAAAAGTACGCGGCTCGAAATGGCTGTTATTTCAAAGAACGTGGACTATTTTAAACTACGCGGTTAACCGGTTTCAACCGGTTAAAGAGGCTCGGTGGTCGGTCATGAAAATTCATAGTTTTTTACATCCCTAGTTCGCGACACTATATACTACTCTAAAACATTGCTATGGGAAAAGTCGGGCTTGATACGGGTTTTGGGCCTGAGAATTCCAAAACCATGTCGGGCCGGGCCGGGCTGGCGCGCCACCCCCTTGGGCCAAGGTAATTGGCCTGTGCAGGGCTCTAACTCCTGTCAGCTAAAAACAGGAAACTGAGGCTACAATTCGCGAAGGCTCACTGAAATTGGACAATAGAAGATTGGAAAAAGTTGCCTGGTCTGATGAGTCTCAATTTCAGCTGCGACATTTGGATGTTAGGGTCAGAATTTGGAGTCAACAACATGAAAGCATGGATCCATCCTGCCTTGTAGGTAGGGTTGTAATGGTGTGGGGGATAATTTCTTGGCACTCTTTGAGTCCCTTAGTACCAATTGAGCATAATTGAAACGCCACAGCCCACTTGAGTATTGTTGCTGACCATGTACATCCCTTTATGACCACAGTGTACCCACCTTCTGATGGATACTTCCAGCAGGATAAAACACATGAACATAACAATAAGTTCACTGTACTGTAAAGCCTCCACAATCACCAGATCTCAATCCAATAGAGCACTTTGGGATGTGGTAGAACAGGAAATTCACATCATGGATGTGCAGCTGACAAATCTGAAGAAACTGCATGTTGCTATCAAATATGGACCAAGCTCTCTGAGGAATGTGTCCCGGACCTTGTTGAATCCATGCCACAAAGGATTAAGACAGTTTTCAAGGCAAAGGGGGTCCAACCCGGTACTAGCAATGTGTACCTAATAAAGTGGTCAGTGAGTGTACAGCTCACATTCCATAGACCAAGGTCACACAAAGCGCTTTACAATTTTTTTAGTACTAATATGTAAGAGAACAGAATCAAAGTCTTTGCCAGTATCTTAGAAAGAGCACTTTGTTTGAATAAAACCAGGTCCAAAAATAAGTAGACATATGTAATACACAGTTTGTTCTGTTTCTGGCTTAACTCCAGCAGGTGGATTGCATCAATAATCAGTGCTTACAAGTGTCACAAGTAGGAAGATTTTGGCATGTGATTGTAATTGTAATGATTTTATTACACCAGCAATCTGCACATTAAAAACATCAAATATATACATTTTAAAAAATAGAATAAATGAACAGTGGTTGTCACCTGCAGAGCCTGGGAAAGCTGCACAAAGTCCCTCTGGACAGTCTGGCTGGTATCAACCTGAGAGCGCAGGCTGATCACCTGACTGCGGAGATCCAGACACTGCTGTTGGAGAGTGGCCTAAAACAGACAAAGACATAACTGACTGTGACTAAAACTAAACAAAACGAACTCTCATTGAAACCAACTGCTCATTGCTTTGACAAAGTGACAGACACAGTCGACCCCTCTCACCCTGCACATTGATTGTTCCAAACTCTCCCCTCAGGCAGAAGACTACGGTCCAGTCGGACCAGAACCTCCCGCCATAACAACAGCTTCTTCCCCTCTGCTGTTGGACTCTTGAACACTTCATAACCTGTCCCCCCGCCCTTTATAAAGTCACCTTAATGCCCTTTGTAAAGTCACTTTACTGCCCATCATAATGTTACTTTACTACTGTTACCTTATTGCACTGGGTACGGCATAATGGCCCTCTTTTATGAAACTTGAGCAGAAAAAGAGTGTACATTTTGGGTGTAGATTCAAAGTCATAAAGTCAAGTTCATATCCAACGTGGGATTTATGAACGTGTGAGATGAACGTGTGAGATGAACGTGTGAGAAATGCCACGGTGAAAACTAGCGTATTTTTGAAAGTCACACCTAAACATTCAGAATCCACCTGTTTCACTCCCTGTTTTTACGACAGGTCAGCATGGAAGTCGGCCAAGAATACAGTTTGGAAGCCTCAAAAAGCCTTTGCCACGCACTCCTGAGTTTATTCACGTTTAACAATAAATATATGCTATATTATATATAGAAGTTTTTTCCCTAGTGTCTAGACCCACTGCAGCACTCATCTCTCTTGAACTTTAGAAGTGAATGAATGAATGAATGAATGTTAATATCTCGGCCTTAGGGGTGGCTCTCATCATTAACCAGGTGAAGCGTCTGAGCGATCTCTGTGAGAGAAAAAGACATTTTAGCAGTGATGCAGTGGGACCTCTCCTGGCACCTGATGCGCACTGCCCCAGAGCCCGTGAGCCCGTTCCTACAGATAAGTGCGTTGCATCCTATCTCTGCTACAGGCGGAGTACAGGGCAGTGGCTGAGACAGTTTTGAGTGAGACCATCGGTGCGTTTATGGGGCTTTATGTACAAAACAAAGGAAAAAACACATTGCTTTGCCAGAGGTGAATGAGGAAAAACAAATGCGCACGGTCTGCCACAGATTTACGAAGTTAGTCAGTAAGTCAAGTGTATTTGTGTAGCGCCTTTCACAAACCAGGATCACAAAGCACTTCACATTTAAAAAACATACAGATTAAAATAATATGCACGCTCTCTTCCAGATTGATAAATGCCGAAAAGTGTACATTTTTTTGCATACGCCTCATTTACACCCTAATTTGGCCGTACGCAAGTTTCATAAATGAGGGCCATTGTGTGCACTATATGCACTTGTATAAATTGTAAAATTTAAAATAGAATTATTATGATTACAATGTACAATACATTGTAATCATAATAATTCTATTTTAAATTTTATACCTTAGAAGTGTATGCTGATTTTTATTATGCCTTACTGTATTCTTTACTTCTCTTTTCTGACTGTAGCACCGAGCCAAAGCAATTTCCTAGTTTTTGACTTCCTGTTACTTCCATGGCAATAAAAATGATTCTGATTTATATGGGTTAAAAGCTCTCAAATTACACTGTATCCAACCACATACAGCATCATATCATAAATGTTCAAACAATAAAGCGACTGCATAACAGATGTTCACCTTGTCAGAAGCCAGGCTCTTGTTACTGCCCTGCACATGTGAGAGCGCCACCCGCAGGGCTTCCAGCTCAGTGCGACACAAGAGCAACTCATCCTGGAACTGCTCCTTCTGCGCCTGGATCCTCTCAGTCTCAGTTTTCAGACTGGAAAACTGTACTGCAATTTCACTCAAAGATGTTATTTTGTTATAAAGTCGGGGTACCTCCCTTTCAAAACACAAACTATGGACCTATGTGATAATATTCCCCGCTCTAAAGAAAGTTTTTATTGATTCTATTACTAGAATTTTTGCTAAACATCACATCTTTAGATCAGCTTTTTCAGACAGAAAAGTGGAAGTGTTATATACAAAACAAAAAACACTTACCTTCTAAAACCTCTGCAGAGAAGATAAAAAACAGGCTTGAGTATATTTCAAGTTAACCGTTTGAAAAAGTGCAGAATACGCACCATTTTCTTCAGTCTGTGCGTCAAGTTGCTCTTTCAAATTGACGATCTCGATTCGAAGTCGTTCCTCACAGTGAGCACCCTGCAAGTCACAAACACTTTAAGAACTATACATTGCAGACTCGGGCTGAACAATAACGTCAACATTTTGTATCTCTGTAATCAATTAAATTCAATTAATTTTTGTATAGCCCTAAAGCATACAAAAGGCAACTCAAAGTGTTGAACAAAATGGACTCGCAGACAGAACCATGGACTCGCAGACAGAACCATGGACAAGCATTCAGGACCTCCCTTGTTTCTACGAGAAAGGGCAGGCTCTTTTTGAGGCACCGGCACCTGCCACAGCTGATCAGTGGCATGTACACAAGTGGCGTTTAAAACGGCATGTGGGGAATAAATGGCGTGTAAAGCGGCATGTGGACAACAAGTGGCGTTTAAAACGGCATGTGGACAACAAGTGGCGTTTAAAACGGCATGTGGGGAATAAATGGCGTGTAAAGCGGCATGTGGACAACAAGTGGCGTTTAAAACGGCATGTGGGGAATAAATGGCGTGTAAAGCGGCATGTGGACAACAAGTGGCGTTTAAAACGGCATGTGGACAACAAGTGGCGTTTAAAACGGCATGTGGGGAACAAATGCCGTTTAAAACGGCATGTGGGCAATAAATGGCGTTTAAAACGGCATGTGGACAATAAATGGCATTTAATACGGCATGTGGGCAACAAGTGGCGTTTAAAACGGCATGTAGACAACAAGTGGCGTTTAAAACGGCATGTGGGGAACAAATGCCGTTTAAAACGGCATGTGGGCAATAAATGGCGTTTAAAACGGCATGTGGACAATAAATGGCATTTAATACGGCATGTGGGCAATAAATGGCGTTTAAAACGGCATGTGGGGAATAAATAGCGTGTAAAACAGATACAGTTGAAAGCAGCCTGTACAAAAGACAACAAGCAGCAGAATTAGAGATAGTGGTCCAGTGGCTCAGATGGAAAAGCACAGGTCTACGGTGTTGATGGTTGCTAGTTCAAATCCCCAGTGACTACTAATGACATTTGCTGATGTTGGGTCCTTGGGCATAACACTTCATGGAGAATGTCAGAAGTGCCATAAATTGTTTGAAAAATGTAGTTTGAGTTATAATAAATTAAATTTAAAATTTGTTGAAAGACTTGATTTCATGTATTATATGCATGTATTATCATGTATTTACACGCCACTTGTTGTCCACATGCCGTTTTAAACGCCACTTGTTGTCCACATGCCGCTTTACACGCCACTTGTTGTCCACATGTCGTTTTAAACGCCACTTGTTGTCCACATGCCGCTTTACACGCCATTTATTCCCCACATGCCGTTTTAAACGCCACTTGTTGTCCACATGCCGCTTTACACGCCATTTATTCCCCACATGCCGTTTTAAACGCCACTTGTTGTCCACATGCCGTTTTAAACACCATTTGTTGTCCACATGCCGCTTTACACGCCATTTATTCCCCACATGCCGTTGTAAACGGCATTTATTGCCCACATGCCGCTTTACACGCCATTTATTCCCCACATGCCGTTGTAAACGCCATTTATTGCCCACATGCCGCTTTACACGCCATTTATTCCCCACATGCCGTTTTAAACGCCACTTGTTGCCCACATGCCGCTTTACACATAATAGATCCATGGAAATCCATTCCCCACATGCCGTTTTAAACGCCACTTGTTGTCCACATGCCGTTTAAAACGCCATTTGTTGTGTACATGCCACTAATCAGCTGTGGCAGGTGCCGGTGCCACAAAAGGAGCCTGCCCTTACTGGTTTCTACAGTGTCTCCTCTCGAAGTGCAACCAAAACTCTTGAATTTAAAGCTCGGATACCTAAATTTCCCCCATGCATTACCAATGCATGTTATTTGTTCAAAAAAGTAAAATGTTGTCAACAAATCAAACAGAACATTCAACAGGCAATGTTTTGCATTATTATTTTGCATACTCTGAGTCATTGTTTGACTATTTGGGCAGAGAGTGGATTTTTTAAATGTTTTTTCCACACAGTTAGTGCACCTTTACTCCAAAAATCTTGTTAACCAGTTGTATTGAGAAATATTAAATAAATCTTAATGTTAAGCCTGGATTTAAAAGGTAATTTTTAGGGCCATCTAGTGCTGAGATCTTATATTGCAGTCCACTATAGTACAGAAGCCTTGGAGTTGAGGCTCTGTCATTCACCAGACTGCCAAGGACTGAATATTTTAGTTTGATAAATGACCGGATCTCTCCAAACGTCTCGGGCACTTGATCGCCGTGAGGCGGCGACATGTATAGAAGACCGCATTCAGATGTGGCACCCTGCACAGAGGCTCTGCTGAGTTTTTCCATGGATCTATTATAATATATAGTTTAACAAACACGGTGTGAAGAGAAGAGACGCATGGAGGAATAACGTCTGTGGGAACTTAAAACTACGATGATCAAAGAAGCATGCCATATACACAGCCGCGGCTAAAAGCTCATAGCGTTCGCCACAGCGCCCTATCTGCATCACGGTAAGAAAACAGAACATTCACTCACGCTGCTGATAAAGTATTCTGGCGATTGTTTTGTGGGGATTCTGTGTGTGTTAAATTTGAGGCTTTTTTCCTGAATAAGTTTAGTTGAAACTTGTGACAGTAGTTGGACTGCGCTCCTATCGGGTCAGAACATCCTGAGACTGTGTTGGAGATTCTGCCTCGTTCTCATTATTGTCAGTGTGAAAAAGTTACGTATTGTTCACGTGAGTCTGTTGTGTACAAACTGCACAATGTGCCTCTTGTGTTAACGCTGTCTTTCGGTGCGTGTGGTTTGCGATGTTGACACTTTGCTGCTATGACGCTGGACTTATGCATAATTATTTTTTCTAAAAGATTGTTGTTCCGATTGTTCTTTTACATAACTGTGGTCCTCTATGGTTCTTTTATATAAATGTGGTCCTTCATGGTTCCTTCTTCCAACTTGTGAAGGCACGGTGAAAGCAACGATATCAGTAGCTCATGTGAAACGAAAACGCGATTCTCGCTTCCTTTTTGTCCCTTATCCACCACTGTTTTTCAAGATGCCGCATTTACACAGAGAGCATTCCTCTCTCATGGACACTTAAAAGTAAAATTCTAAGCCTATGAATACAATTAAAAAAACATGGTGGAGGTAAATATTCTTGAAAAGGTCACATTTTTTATTAGTTAACATGTTTTTTCATACGGAGAAGCTGTTAAAAAATTACACAGGGCGGCTTTAAGCACTTTACATTGTGAATTTAGGCTACAGAGTATTGTTAGTATTAGATAGCAATATGGCCTACGTGCAGAACTCCCACAAGGACTGATTATTTTGACTACGATGCGACTGTCTGTGTGACACGTATGTCTTTCGACACGTATGTGACGTGACAATGACTATATAAACTGTGTACGGACTCCATTCTGTCTGAGAGAAAGAAACAATTGAAACCACTGGAACTTGAGAGAGACTTAAATAAACTTCCAGAGTTTGGCGCACCATGATCCGTCTGTCTGCTTCATTCCTGACAGATTTGGTGGAGGATGCGCGGCTCAGTGTATGCTGAGCAGTCTCAGGGTTTAAGTCCCTTGGAGCAGTCTCAGGGTTTAAGTCCCTTGGAGCAGTCTCAGGGTTTAAGTCCCTTGGAGCAGTCTCAGGGTTTAAGTCCCTTGGAGACACACAGTCTCAGGGTTTAAGTCCCTTGGAGACACACAGTCTCAGGGTTTGAGTCCCATGGAGCAGGATCCTTAGTGAAACCATGGTATAAAAGATAAATAAACATAAAAAGGGAAACGTTAAACACTAAGAGTGCCTTTTGTCACAAGTGTTGAAATTGGCCCTTTCTATATTTGGATGACAAAAGTATAAACTACAACATTAGTTATATTCGCTTAAAAGAAAGTAAGTTAGTTCTTCTTTCTGCTTTTACAATTTTGCTAAAACACTACTTTCTGCCTGTGTGTGTGCGCGTCTGTGTGACGGGAACCCCCCGCCCTCGCTGCGCTGCTGCTGCTGCTCTGATTTAAAGGGGAGCTACTGCGTTTAGGATTTTGGCTTTTCATAGTAGTTATTCCGTTAAATTTGCGAAATTTGCGATTGAACATTGGGTTATGACACAGTTAAACGTTTTTAAACACCATTAGTGAATAAGTTTTAAATATTATATGTTTTTTGAAATCCAAAGATTAGTACAAAAAAGCTTTGCTTTTCTTTTTAAATCTGCTGCTTATTTTTTGAGTCCATTATTGTATCTCTGATATATTTCATAGCTGTTTGTGAGAATTTTTTCATGTATTTTTATTTTAGTTACAAAAGCCGTTTTTCAAACATTTAAATTAGAATCTGTTAAAAGTGATTATTGATTATACATCCATCCATCCATTTTCTACCCTTTAATCCATTTCTGGGTCAGGGGGGTGGCAATCAGAGATGCCACCCAAGTCTCATAGCACCAGCCCCTCACTGACCCTCTGCAGGTGGTGAGTCCACAGGAGGACGGCTGCTCTCTGAGTGTGAGCATACTGTAGCCTTGATCTTTCAATGGGGGCTTTGGGCAAAGTGGGGTTAAGTGTCTTGCCCAAGGACACAACTACAGCAGTCATCAGTGGAGTCGGTGGAGAAGGTGTAGAGGTGGGAATTGAACCCACGACCTTCAGGCCTTAAGGCCAATGCTCTACCAACTGAGTTACTGTTGATTATACACTCCGTCTAAAAAGAAAGAGGGAATTAGGATTAGCTGTAAAAGTGTTATATTATTGAGTTAAACTCTACCCAATTCACATTGCAAGCTGTGACTTTTTTGTTTTGACTATGCACCTGACCTTGCTCCTGCTGCTGATACCACAGCAGAGGAGCCTGATCTGAAATGTGCTCCAATTCATATTGACTTCATTTGAAAAGGCTGCAATTATTTTAAATTAGTAGAATATATGCTGAGATAAATGTTCAAGTGTAAAAGGGAAATTCCATAAAGTGATTAATCCAGTTTATTTAATCTTTTGATTTGATTTCATGTTTTCAAGTTATTTTTAAATGTTTTTTCAAA